GCAGAGAGATTTTCAAGCCGATTCTGGCTGTTCTGATAGCGATGGGCGTCGCTGTGGATGGTATTGGGGGGGCATGCCAGCTGTATTGCCGGCATGCCGCGTATGACAGAAGGATAACATATGTCGGCTGTACCGCGCTGTCAAATTGCGTTATTCTCGCGCCGAGTGTTGCCGTTGCATGCCTAATCACCCTGACCGAGCCACAGTAGCCTCGCCGTGGAGCGCAAGCCGTGGACAGTGTGCGTTAGTTAGCTGCCTATTTGTTGATTCATAGGCGCGCTCTACGGTTGATAAGGGCCAAAGATTCCGCGAGATTCGTGTGTAGTGTTTAGGTTGTCTTTCTTCGGATGTTGCGGGTGTCTCGAGGGGCCAAAGATTTCGTACAATGAGGGGCGATGTCTGTGTCCGATTTGAGTCAGTTGGATTCGAGTTACGCGTAGTAATTCGTAGGTATCTATAAGGCTAGTAAATGGAACACGAATTTGCCCTTGTTTATTGTAGGTTCCACTCCTCCTCAATTATACGACTCCTTGATGTTATTTAGGAAGCGGAGATGGAAGAAATATCAATGTTGTTTAGTGACGAGACCATTATTGATAAAATGGCCGCCATGGAACTTCCACCACCAGTACCTCGCTTAAGAGTTTTGCATATTGTATATACGAGGCAATATATTTTGCGGTATAAAACAGTTGACAGACTTTCTGTTGCAATTGGTCCGAGGTTGACCCCATTTTTTTCACGAAATGCCTGGACTATTAGTTTTTAGATTGTGTATGACTATTCTGTAGATACAAATAAATCTATAGATAAGACTAGCATATTTAAGCATGCATATTGCTCAACATTTTAGCATAGCCAGTATAAAATTCATACATGAAACTGATTTACTTACATGTATTCATGCATTATAGCATGAATATGCACATTATTAGAAAAATAGAAACACAAATGCAGTTGCTTACAGAGTTTCCTGAGCTAACCACTTAAAAAATTCATTATGCACATAAATTAAAATTTTTATTTTAACTAGAAATGGTAAAAGGCTTATGGCCACACAGCATGACTAACATAAATATATGGTTTAATTTGGTGTATGGCCCACAGTGTGTTAGCCAGAGACCCGTCTGTACCCGTCATTTGGACGGCCTATTCTTGGATGAGACAGATGAAATTTGATAGAGACGGCATAAGGGCGGCCCAATTTTATATATTATACACCTTGTATAACTGCCAACAGTGCTTATAAGAATATAAAATCAGTCTTTTTGGCATTTCAGACTAAATTTCCTCCATTTTAAGGTACCCCCCTAGGTAGCCACAAGTTCTCTTCTCGCTTAACACTACGTTGGCACACGGACAACAGTTGATACGTGTAACAGTCAGAGAGCCTGGTCGGTTTACCCCCTAGGGTGCTTCGCGCCCACAGCATCCTCGCTTTGCTCAGGTGGTGAGACTCCCTGATTTTTTTCCCTGGCTAACACCCTGGTGGCCCAACTATCCTAAGTCAGCAATATACCATGGATTCTTAGAACGAATGAATGACTATATATATAGTGTTGAGAAACTGAAATGAAACAAATCAAATTGGACTTCATATTATATGGACCCTAGCTGACAGATACATGTACTGTAACATTTTCGGCTATAACGTGGTCGCCGTACAGAGTACCAATTATCCTATTATCAACATATCGCCTATTATAAATTTGACGATCTTTGTGGTTCAACAACTGAAAAAGAATGAGAGCATGTACATATTGCCTATTGACATTGTATTGGTATCTAGCAAGTTAACTGGCTTTGGTAGCAACCACAGGCACTTGGAATGTCTCAATAAAAAAAATTTATGGTAAATAAACACAAAATGTACCAAAGTCTTAATGTTTCTCTACTCTATTTCGCCTATAATTCACCTGTAAATGCCGGTCAAATGCTCATCTGCAACACACAAGTACACCGTACGCTAGACCGAATAATTCTGTCCCATATAACCTTTTTTATATTTTGGTGAGGGTTATATTGGGACAAACGGACAATCATGCGATTCTACAAGCTGCATCTGACTATACGTCAGATGAGCTAACTATAGACAGAAGGCACTCACGGAGAGTGCACATCTCCGCCAGCTCCCTCGCTCGTAGCAGCCGCTCGTTGCTGCTGCTCGCTCACATGTACACGCTTGCTGGCTTGCTGCCCACTCGCTCGTAGCAGCCGCTCGTTGCTGCTGCTCGCTCACTCGCTCGCTGGCTCGCTGTGCTGGCTGGCTGACACGATAATATCGATCGCGCGAACACACGAACACACTAAGTTAACACAAGAGCAATCACATAACCTCCTCCAACTACGTTGGGCGCAGGTAACGAGAGTACTGCCTACTCACTGAGTATGGAAGCCACACCGTCAGCGCAGTACCTTACTGAGTAAAACCGTCTGGAAGTACAGGCTGGAGAGGGTGTGATCTCAGATAAACGGACAAGTACCCGGGTTACGAATAAATACGAATATATTATAATTGTATAATTAGAATTTATGATAATAAATTATACAATTAGAATTTATAATAAAAAATTATTTAATTGCGAATACACTCGGTGTATGGGAGCAAATACAGTCAGTAAATGAGTCCCGCGTTCTGAAGGGAAACAGTAGGGGGCACCTATGCTGAGACACTTCACACATATTATATCACGCGCTTGCACACTACGTACAAAAAAGTTATCCGAAAAGTTAATCCATTACACAAAGGGGTCCAATTATAAATCATTCCATTACAGAGCGGACCAATTATAACGCAAATTGCATTAAATTGTAAGAGTTCTCGAACCCACGTGCAGTGAGAGCGGAGCAACAATAGTTGCAGTATATATTTTCCGGCTGTCTGGCTCGTTTGAATGGGCCCCTAACAACATGTACCGTGATTTGAATTCAGCGCCCAAGGTGGTATAACTGTTGCCAATGTCAGAATACGGATAAAATAACAAATCGTGTTTTGTCGGACGCGACGAGGCATTATAATGGGGCAATTCACATGCACACTAGCACACATGCGAGGCACGAGAATAAATGCTTCTTGACAAACCAATTGGTTTTAGAAATTTGGTGTACTAGTTAGTATACGTCATTACTCGTATTGGTCATAATCGGTAGCGGTTCGCCTGCGTTTCCCGTCGCGACCACAAGAGGCACTAAGCCCGAGCTATGGTAGCTCTAGTACTATAGCCCGCTGATTGCTGCCGCAGGCCTGCGGCAGTGATCCGCGGGGCTATAGTACTAGAGCTAGAGCTATGGCTACTAGGTTGGCTATGGTAGACGTACACTACAAATACGCACCGACTCACGTTTGTATAAGCATACCACGTATACCACGTATTGGTATTGGCATACGTATTGGCATACGTATTGGCCACGTATTGGCCACGTATTGGCATTATACCACGTATTGGTATAAGCAGAACCTAGAATCTAAGATGTATATCGATGATAATGTATATTCAATACTGGCGGAAGCCTGCGCGCATGTAAGCGTCAGGCTGTGAGTATCACCAACCCCGCAACATACGTGCCCCAGGCTCTCTTCTCTTTACCTATGTGGTATTCCAAACATTACAAAATATATATTCCAATATGTTCTAATGTTCGTGGCTAACACGACGGGTAAACCACAAAGAACGCAGAAAGAGTCAGCAGAACTGCAGTCTGTGTACAGATCCACGAGGACTACGGCGCTGTAACAGTAGATCAACAGCCCATTTAGGATTTGGATGCTGCATGCGTTTCAATGCGTTTCACTGTGGCAATAGCCAGTTTCATGCGCAATCATACCGGTCTAGGTAGCAGTGGTAATTATTCCACAGCTAAACTCCAAGAAGAGAAGGACAAAAACCATTATATCACAATAGGCAGCTAGTAATATGCTTTTTTGCGGTATACGATTTTTTGTCACTATTATGTACAGCTGCTCCAGACAGCCTGAATGTGCTCACTCCTAAACCGTGGCTCTGAATATATGGAATATCGTGGGTATCACGCGTTGAATGATTCTCAGTTCAGCAGATGTTGTTCTGATTTAACGTTAGTTTCCATGTCGAGATCGTTTAAAAACGATGTCTGCATTGCATTTATTTTTCCATGCACCAATGAGAGAGTGCATGATCGCTTAACGGAGAATTCTTGATGAATTACCAAAGACGAGGTATGCGAATAAGGCAGGCAGGGTCGACTGAAAGCGGATTTTTCCTTTGTCCAATTAATCCCTATTCGAAATGCATTAATTAGCAATTCCCAGCCATGCCACTCATTAGAAATCACTGTATAAATATGCTGCACTAAGTAGTGGCTGTAACCAAGCATATGTTTTAGCAAACAGTGACCGCTACGCTCCAGTAAACTGAACCAATGCCAATGTTGTGACCTACCAACTACAGTCCACACACACACAACTTCTGGTGAATAGTCGGGTCTTGGAAAACATACACTGGTTTACCGAATGCCAGTAATCTGCACCATTCTTCTGAGTCAATTGCAACTCAAAACCATTACAAGTATCTATTATGGCAAGTTCCTGGCTAATTTGCAAAACAATACACCCAGTTTGGTAGTGCTGAAAAAATACACCCTACAAAGCTCAGCTGTGTAACACTTTAGCAGTCACCTCAAGTTCACATTGCCCCAAACACGCCGATTCATTTCCCACACACATATAACAGATATGTACGTTCACATGTGAAATAGCAACGTCCGTTTTAGAGTTATCGGAACCAACAGTATCTGACAGTACAGGAACAAAAAATGTCTTTAGCATGGAAATACTATAATAGTTCTTCCCCATTTTTCAAATGTCAGCTATATAAGGAGACATGCTTATTTTAAACCCATTATGTTCATTGTTCAATAATGAAAATACCCTCTCTGATTATCATTTTGAAATATGTTATCAAGAAACTGATAACCCACACCTGTTATATCCTTAATAAAATAAAAAATTAGACCATACTCACCGGAGCTAAGTAAATGAAGCCATGCTTTCTAGCTAGATCCTTGGCTACTTGTTCACCACCTATAATGTTAACTGCCCACTTGTCCGAGAATATAGCCGCATGAGTGGCCTTTACTAAAAACACGTAGAACATCGACAATAGAACTGAAAGTTCCATCCTAACTGTTCCCTAATTGCTGTGCAGATTAAGCCAGGATATTCTTTATGAACGGTTACTCCGGATTTGCATATCCTATGACTGCCTGGGTGATGAATGAACACTAGACTCAAACTGCCTTGCCAGAAGCTGAGCTTAGTAACAAGAAAGTCCAGCGTTCACTCATGCAACTGCAAAATCTAGTGTTGTAGTGCTAACACCTCCCAGTGATGCAAAAGGCTTATCACGGACAGTTCGGGTTCTGGTTTCTGCCACTTCTCTCTTCACCCTTCACACCAGGCCCGATTTCTCTTTGTTGTCTGGCATACATCTACTTCAGCTCTGCAGCTGGGTGGTTTGTCAAGCAGTTCCCCTGGAACAGATAGAAACAAGTTTAGTGATCGATACTGCTGGCTTACAGGTAAAGCCTGCTCTCTCTCTCTGGCTTTCTCTCATGCGTGCTGATGTCTACATCTATGCTAGGATTTATTTATAAATTGCAATGCGCTGATTGTTCTATTGTTTGATTGTTCTGACGTGAACAATTCCGTGCATTTATAGGAAAACGAGTTTAGAGTCCAGGCATTATTTGATATGACCTTGGACAAATTGCAACAGACAGTGTCTCAACTGTTTTATGCTCTTGGAGGCGTCCACTATAATATATCAAAACTCTTAAGGAATCCTGGTGGTAGAAGGTTCCATGGCGGCCATTTTAAAAAATGGCCGCCATAAAACTGATATTTCTCTATATGTCTGCTTCTAAATAACATAGAGCTTTGATTTTAAGTGCTAAACATACATTTTCAGGGACAAGAAATCAAATGAAACACATTTCGATAAGCTAAACCTGGCCAAAAAGCCGAAATGGCAGCCATTTTTCAAAATGACCGCCATAAACCTGATATTTCCCAATATCTCCACTTCTAAATGACTTAGGGCATTGATTTTAAGTGCTAAACATACATTTTCTGGGGCCAGGAATCCAATGACACACATTTCAATAAGCTACATCAAACACATTGGCTAGCTTGTTCACGAAAGTGCGCACTGGTTTTGAATTTGTTGAGGGAAGCTCCCTTGCCAATGCCATACATGCGGGAAGTAGTATCACATCCCAGGAGAGCGTGCATGAAGAAGATGTGCTGTGATACATCGGGGCCTAACTGCTGCTTGCCAGACTTCATGTTCCAGACACGCGGTTTCTTCACATTCTTCTTTGGCTCGGGTTGGAAGAACAGGTCACATGACTTGAGGTTAGTGTGGTGGATGAGCAGATCTGTGTCATCTCCGATCAGCACAGTATCAGTGGTGGCTGCAGACTCCACTGCCTTTAGCACTATGAGGAGATCAGCGTCACCTGCAGAATGATGTGTCTGGCAGTTCTGTGCCCGTAGTTTGGTGCTGAGCATGTTGATGAAGCGCTGGTTGTTTGTCATGTTTGCCAGGAATTGTTCCTTCTTCATTGTGACCTGCATATCTTCATCAAACGTCACCATTGCTCCAGCATTCCCTCTCGTACGTCTCTGGTGTGTTGTGTCCTTTGTTGATGTACCATCATAGCCATCAAACACGACTGAATTGCCTGTCCATACTTCTTTGTGACATACTCTGTGTATTGCGCGCAGATACCTTTGTATATTGAGCCACGTTCCCATGGAATGCGCTGGACTAGTGCCCCACCATCTAACACGTAGTGGACTTGGCCTGTGATTCCTGGTGCATCGTGTGTCAGGAGTGTCCAGATAGCATCTGCTAGCACTGGCTTCTGTGGCTGTCGGAGCAGCAGTGTGGAATCAAACAGAGCTGGTGGGTAACTGCACAGCTCATATTTGAACACAGATTGACTCCAGATCATATTTGACTCCAGATCCTCTGTAGCTTTTGCAGCAATTGTCAGTCACTGGAAAAGCAGCTTGAGATCCACCTGTACTGCCTCACCATCAATCTTTACTGCCGATTTCGCAGCCAGGGTGATGGCCTGATCCTTCCTATTGAATGTGTAGTCAGCAGCAGTTTGTCCATCCATGTTGGTCAGGATAGCTGTTCCAACAGTTTTCGCTGAGTCCACATTGACTGTGCTGGCTTCATGCACCCCTGTCGAGATGCTGCGCCAGCTCGGATCTAAGCTGAAGGGTGTTATCTCTTGCAGATAGCTGATAACTGCATGTGTGTCTTTCATGTCACGTGCTTGTCTAGCATTTGTCATGTCCTTGTTTTGTTCACCAGTGTTGTAGTTGACACATGTGAGCTGCTGCATAGCATTGTTGACTTCAGCACAGGCAGGCATGAAAAGCAGCCATATGAGACGCTGTTGCTCAGTCATGCCTCGCCCTCTCGTCAGGCCACCGCTGGTCTTCATACTCCTCATCAGGACCTGTTTGATAGTGAGATCTACAGACAGACCAGCCCATAGGCGATCACTTCTTCTGACAACATGGAACCCTTCTTCGAATCGTTGGTACTGTACACATCTGGATGTTCATCCTTGAGCTTGCTCATTCGCTGCACATAGAGGCGGGCTAATTTGGTGTAGAGGTTGTGCCCAGAGGCTGCCAATGCGCTCTGCTCTGACAAACTTCCGTAGTATGTCCACCATCTCCATGTACTGTAGCCAAAGTGTGGCAGCCCTAGAGGACTTTAAGGATTCGGTTTTAGCCCTGAGGAGCTCCTTGATCCTGGTTAACACATCAGCTTGGCAGAACTCCTCTGCAGACACGGAATCTTCCATCAGGTTCTTGTAGAGGGCAGCAAGTTCATCAAGATCAGTGTTTCTAGTTCTGCCTGTCGTAGGCTCATCATCTGGTGACACTGTTGCCTCATTGGTCTCCTCCACTTCATATGGCTCTGCAGATGGTTGAGGGAGTGGCACACCAAGTACGTACGTCTGACAAAATCAAGGCATTCAGTGCTGCATCAACAAGGCGATGTCCTCGTACTGCTCGTGCAATAGCCTTGCCTGTCATCATGTGTACCTCCGCGTTGTCTGCATAGATTAGCTCCTAGAATACCTGCAGTCGGCTGATCCTAGCCATGAGGTGCCCGAGTGCTTCGCCAAGCACTCATTTATCGTGTGAAAGCCTCCCAGGGCGGCACAGACTATGTCAATTTAAAAACTTCCTGTGGGCTCAGTCTCGATGATCATGAGGGGCTTTCGCACCATAAGTAGTTGGTCCAAAGGATGATGATGGCCGTATAAGCAGCCATTGGCGACGGAGCATGCTCACACACGAAACTTCAGTGTGGAATAAATGCACGTTGTGTGACAGGCACCATAGATATGCTGTTTTTGCTGGCCATTTCAAGCTTTTTGATGCAGGTTTAGCTTATTGAAATGTGTGTGCATTGGATTCCTTGTCCCTGGAAAGTATGTTTAGCACTTAAAAATCAAAGGCTCTATGTTATCAGGAGTGTATAATAGGGAGGAGTGTGAGCATCAATAAAGCAAGGGAAATTCGTATTTAACTAGGGCCTTATAATACGCTTAGGCGATTTACTACGCCGTAACTCATACCAACTTGAGCTCAAATCGAGCACAGTACATTCGCCCATCATCGTACGAGAATCGTTTCCCTCGTAGACACCGCGAATCCGAAGATAACAGCCTAAACCAACGACTACCGATTTCTCCATTTATTCTTTGGCCAATAATCCACCGGCATAGCGCGCGCTATAATTCAAAGACAAAAGGGGCAGCTACTAACCACACTGTCCACCGGCTATGCGCTGCGACGGGCGAGGCGCTGTGGCATCGGCAGGGAGATTTCCAATCCGATGTCTGTGCTGATAGCCGATTGGGCGTGCGTGGCCGTGCATATGGGCATTGCCTAGCTGTATTGCCGGCATGCCGGTATGACCATAACGGCGCATACATTGTAGCTTGTGTACCGGGTCAAAGGTTATGCTCAGCGCGAGTGTTCGCGTTGATGGCCTAATCAGCCTCTGCAGAGCCCAGCAGTGCCTCGCGCGTGCAGCGGCAGCCCGTGGAGAGTGTGGTTAGTAGTCAGCTGCCTTTTGTTTGAAGTTATAGGCGCGCTCTACGGTTGATTAATGGCCAAAGATTGAGACTCGTGTGGCGTATGTTTTTAGGTTGTATCTTCGATTGCGGGTGTCTAGGCGAGTGCAAAGATTTCCGTAGCAATGATGGGCGAATGTAACTGTGTGCCGATTTGAGCTCCAAGTTGGATGAGTTACGCGTAGTAAATCGTAGGTATTATAAGGCGTAGTAAATGAACGAATTTCCCTTGTTTATTGTTTGTCAGCAGCTGCCTCCCTATTATCAGCCGTGATGTTATTGTAGACGGCGGAAGATGATAAAAGAATATCAGTTGTAATGGAGACCATTTTTGCAAAATGGCCGCCATGGAACGCTTCCACGTGCGATCACCAGGACTCCTTAAGAGCCTTCTTGATATGTTTTATAGAGGATATATTTGCGCTCGGGTATAAAAACAGTTGACAGACTTTCTGTTGCAAGTTGGTGCGGCGAGGTGAGCGCGCCATTTTTTTCCGAAATGCCTGGACTTATTAGTTGTTTAGAATTGTGTTGACTATTCTGAGATACAAAATAAATGCTATAGATAAGCCTAGCATATTTTAAGCATGGGCATATTGCTCAACATTTTAGCATAGCCAGTATAAAATTGACATACATGAAACTGATTTACTATACATGTATTCCATGCATTATACGCATGACAATATGGCACCTTATTCGAAAAATTAGAAACACAAAGGTAGGAAAACCGTTGCTTACAGAGTTTTCGCTGAGCTAAGCCACTTAAAAAATTCATCTATGCAGCAATAAGTTTAAGAATTTTTTATTTTAAACCTAAGAATGGTAAAAAGGCTTATGGCCACCACAGCAATGACTACATAAATATAATGGTCTTAATTTGTGTATGGCCGCCAGTGTGTTAAGCCAGAGACCGCGTCTGTAACCCGTCATTTGGACGGCCTATTCTTGAATGAGACAGGATGAAATTTTTGATAGAGACGGCATAAGGGCGCCCATTTTATATATTATACCGGCTTTTACACTGCGCAACAGTGGGCTTATTAAGACTAATAACAATCAGTCCTTTTTGCAATTTATTTTTTTCGCTATCTTTTTTTTTTTTTTTTTTTTTTTTTTTTTTTTTTTTTTTTTTTTTTTTTTTTTTATTTTTTTTTTTTTTTTTTTTTTTTTTTGTTTGTTTTTTTTTTCTTTTTTTTTTTTTTTTTTTTTTTGTTTTTTTTTTTTTATTTTCATTTTTTTTTTTTTTTTTTCAGACTAATTTCCTCCATCTTTAAGAGTATCCCCAGGTAGCCAAAGTTCTCATTCTCGCTTAACACTAAGCGTTGGCACACGGACGAACAGTTGCATACGTGTAACAGTCAGAGAGCCTGGTCGGTTTACCGCCCTAAGGGTGGCTTTCGGCGCCTAAGCAGCATCCTCGCTTTGCTCAGGTGTGAGACTCCCTGATTTTTTTCGCCGCTGGCTAACACCGCTGTGCGCCAACTAATCCTAAGTCAGGCAATATACCATGGATCTTAGAACGAATGAACTGACTATATATATAGTGTTTGAGAAACTGAAATGAAACAAATCAAAATTGGACTTGCATAAATTAATATGGACCGCTAAGCTAGCTGACAGATACATGTACTGTATACATTTCGGGCTATATACGTGCGTCGCGTACAGAGTACGCAATTTATCCTATTATGCAAACATATCGCCTATTATAAATTTGAATGATCTTTGTTGGTTGCAACCACTGAAAAAAGAATGGGTAGGCATGTACATATTGCCTATTGAGTATTGACATTCTTATGGTATCTAGAAGTTAATGGCTTTTGGTAGGGCAAGCAACACAGCAGGCATTGAATGTCTCAATAAAAAAAATTTATGGTAAATAAACACAAAATGTACCAACAGTCTTAATGTTTGCTCTAGCTCTATTTCGCCCTATAATTCACTCTGTAAATGCGCGTTTTCAAATGCTCATGCTGGCAACACAGCACAAGTAATCCGTACGTCTAGACGAATAATTCTGTCCCATGATAACGCTTTTTTTATATTTGGTGCAGGTTATATTGGAGCAGAACGTGGGGGTTCCATTGAAATTTTCGTGAGAATCGGCATGCGAAATGGAAGCAATGGCGCTGCTATAATGCCGGCCCGTACGCCGCTAATTGGCGCGAAAAAAAACGCTACGTCGTTCCGTTCTAGCATGGGCTTACTTTGCTAATGATATGTTGTATACTCGTATACATTCCTTGCAATCGTTATTTACTGTGCTTTAACAAGATTGTTTTTCAGAGACCACCCGCTTCAATTAAACTTTAGTAAATTACGTTGGCCATTTACAAACAACTCAGACGTCAATCACAGGCCGAGTGCTATCAGGCCTCCATGCGAGCGCACAGATACAAGCGAGAACCATGGGGCTATTGCTAATACTCGGCTGTGATTGGTCTGAATTGTTTTGTAAATGGCCAACGTAATTTACTAAAGTTAATGAAGCGGGTTTCTGAAAAAATCTTTTAAAGAAGTAAATAACGATTGAAGTGAATGTATACAGTATACACATATCAGTAGCAAGGTAAAGCCATGTAGAAGGGAACGGTAGGTTTTTTTTCGGCGCCAATGAGCGGCGTACGGCCGCAAGGCAGCGGCCAGTGCATGCATTTTGCATGCGACTGCTCACGACATTTCAATGAACGCCGTTCTGTCCGGCAATATAAATTATATACGCCTCCACACAAATATAAAAAGGTTATTAGGGACAGAATTCATATCCGGTGCCTAACCGTACGCCAGCCCTGAGCTGGCGTGGCAGCAAACCACAATGAATGAATTCCTCATGCTGCTTGTTGTTTGTGTGCGGCCGCAGCAGCAGGGCGGGCGTGCGTGTACTTAATTGGGTGGTTTGGCAGATGAGGCATTTGAGGCGGCAATTTACAGGTGATTGATAGGCGAATTAGAGGTAGAGAAACATTAAGAACTCTTGGTAGCATTTGTCGTGTTTATTTTTACGCATTATTTTTTTTATACGAGGACGTTCCAAGTGTCCTGTGGTAATGCAAAGATTATACATTTCAACAATACAACTTATTGAAAATCTTATACAACTTGAACAAGTAAATTGTACTTATACAAGTCTTACAAGTCTTAGACCTCTTACAAATACAAGTCTTACTTACAAATACAAGTCTTACAACTACAAGTCTTACTTACTTACAAGTCAAGATTATACTTATAGTTATACTTAAGTTATAGTTATAACTTATACTTATACTATAACAGTAAGGATAAAGTAATACTAAAATGTGTCTATTTACCATGATATCTCGTATTTTCCAGAAGCAATGCAGGCCGTCGGCACGTCCACGATCGCCAACGTTCATGTCATGTTTACAAAGAACACGAGCGCGAGTGCGGTACACTCACTAGTTGATTGACGCGTAGCAACGACCAACTTCGAGACCTCGACACTCGACAGCTGGTCGATGACAATACGGACGTGACGAACAGGAAGTGGATTTTACCGCTAGAGTGTGCATCGTTCGGCGAAAAATGGCAGCGCCCGTTCATCTTTGTGGGAAAGCAATGTGGATTGGTAAATATACATTTTTATTCGTTACAACTTAGACGAGTAATTAAAACACTGTAACACATAAAAGATTACAATCCGTGGCTACCGTATGTTTAGTAATGACTATCGCCTAGCTACGACACTGCTGCTGAGTCACAGTGAGTGGAATTTAATTGGGTTGATCAAAGATTGTGTGCTAACGCTCATGATAGCCTATTAGTATTAGGCCTAATTTGTGTTCTGACCGAGTTTTAGACATTTCGTGTCATGAAATTCACACAAAATAAAAGGTGATGAGAAGGTATTTCAGAAGCCGTAAATGTAGTTTTTTGTCATGTAGGTAAGATGTTAATGTATAATGAAGCAAGATGTGTAGATATTTCTTAGTATTTCAATGTTAAACATTTAGGAACTTTGCAAAAGTTGTTGTACAAAAGTTTCCCACATATATGATAGCCTATTAGGCCTTAAAATAGCGTCAGCTTATAAAAATTCTTAGGGCACAATTTATTGGTCTATAATACTGGGTGGATATTAAGTTACATCATAATTGTAATAATATAATTTAATTGGGTCGATCAAAGATTGTGTGCTAACGCTCAGTTTATGATTGAGTAATGCTAACATCACACATTTGTGTTCAATTTATAGCAAGACTGACAAACTCTATGAGAAGTATTTACTTCAAGAAGTCATCATCTGTAAGCCACATGCTTTCGCCTCGCTTACTGTCAACCTCCACGCATGAAGAGACAGTTGTGCCGCACACGACAGCAAGTGATGCCTTCCAGCCCCATGCTGTATGCAAAACCAATGAACATGATCCCGTAAGTATATATGGGTGATTTACGTGTTACTGGACATCAGTTACTAACATCATATGTCAAATTAAGGTGAAGGGGATCACACATTAAAGCATGGAGTATTTAAGTCTGGACTCACGTTGAGTTTGGTTCCTGGCACTTCATATGAGAGTCATGTAATATTACTTTGTATATATACTAGGTTTAACAAATTCAAGTGGTTGTTTATAATGTGGATGACATTCTTTGTATTGCTCAATATATGGCTATAATGAACTATTATATGTACCAAGTTGTGAATATATCATTTTCAATATGCCCATGTGGGCATTCATAACAGAAATTTTCTTTTAGGATAAACACACCGAAAACCACATGTCCCTGTTCTATAAGGTTCAGGAAGATGAGATCAAACGGTTATTTGGAAGCGGTGGACTTGAAAGGCAGTTTCTAATCCAGGTGCATATAACCTGTTATTTCTATAATAATGAAGATAGTACTGTAAAATAAGTACACAGCTTAATGCATGATTGGGCATTTCACTAATACAAGGAAACTTTATATCATTTTTTGTTTTCAACAAAAATATGGATTCCTCGAAAGTTAGTGATGTACTTAATTGTGATTTGAATTCTATGGTATTCAATTATGTTGCTGTTACCTGTTTGTTGTTTACTTGTTAATCCTGTTTAAATTGTAGCTTAAAACGTTTCAAGAATCCTGTTTCATGGTTAGACAGCCTGCATTTGAAGTGATCAACTATCTTAAGCAAAGTGACTACAGTAACCCTGCAATACGTTATGTACTATGTATGTATGTAAAATGGCATAAACTTGAAATTAACATGAATTATTTTCTGCAACTCAATAGCACTGGTTTAGATTTATAAGTGTAAATGAATAACCTATAAGGAATCGCTGAGCAAGTGAAAGATTCACATATATGCGTATTTGTTGATGTAATTAAATGTATTATATATATTAGAATGCAATAATTTCACCTTATTTAATTTAGAAGGTAATGCAAAGAAATAGTGTGAATATTGCTATCCCTCATATAGCTGGGAGTGCAATAATTATAGATCAATTATAGATGCAATCGTGGCTAAATGCATTGATCTTTGCATTAAACATTGAAACGTTTTTTAATCATACACCTGTGTTCTCTTGACAGATGGTAAAAAAGGTTCCGGAAAGACAGTGAGCTTGGCTCATATAATCCACTGGTGTTCACAACAGGGCTGGTTATTAATTCATGTACCAAGTGGTAAGTGGCATATAATTATATATATATCAGGGGTTAATAATGACAAAATTTCAGAAGACATGTTGTTTATGGACAGATAGGGGAGGGTCTGGAACGGGAGATACATGTGTGTTTTTTAAAGTTATCAACCTATGTCGTTTTTGGATACTTAATTTTCACCTTGAAATGGAAAAAAGTAAAATTAAACACGAACATAAATGTCAAAAACCCGGGCTAGAAATTAAGGTGTATCAATTAGGCAATTATCATATGTTAGGGGTTTTATGGGATGTCACATATTAGCTTTAGCTTTGAGGTCAAGCTGGACCCAACATGTGTTAAAGGCCTAGGGAAAACCCTGTTTATAAATAGGCATTTATTGTGCCTAAATCATACATGTACACATTTATCTGTGAGTGTATTCCTGTAATTTTCATTCTCTTGTTTCATCTGCATTTCAGCTGATAGGTTTACAGAAAGAGTGGATGAGGTACAACCTTCATCACACAACCCTGGACGTGTCGATTTGCCTGTCGTGGCTCTGGAGTGGCTGAAGCGATTCAAAGTTCAAAACTCTTTATTTTTAGAAGAGAATGAGGTGAGTCGTATATGAGAGAGCATGTAAGTCGAATGTAGTGCGTGATAGAGTTGAGAAGAGGGATATCTGGTGTGAACATGTTGTAAGATATTCATGTGTGTGTATGTTTAACTGTCATGTAAAATTGAGAAGGCCATCACAAAATTTGGAATGTATAATAATACGTTTAATTACAATAAGGAATATCTGATTTTATGTGGCTAGTATGTTGATATATGCTTAAATTATTTTCAGTTTAAAACTAGCCGCAGCTATGTGTGGAGCAAGCGGGAGTCAACAGAAGAAGGAGCACCAATAACAAATGTCATTGAGCAGGTATAAATCCAAGTATCATAATAAACTAAATAACATGAGCTTGATCAGCAAAATCATTCAACTGCATAAGTTTGAATTGGCTGAGGTTTAACATTAATTTTAAATCATAATAGAAAATGATGTGATATTTTAATTGTGTATCTGACACAATTAAGTGCATTAGTTAAAGCGAGGATTTCTCATACCAATCATTTTAATATTTTCGCAATCGTTCTGATACTTACAGGTGCTCCTTGCATAAAATTTATCATTGCAAATGTATATAGAAAGGCTAACATGTCATAGAACACTCACACAGCATTCTTTCCACCAATATGTGCACCGACCTGCACTTCAAATTTGATTGTTTACATATGTCAACAAACCTAGTGCGTGAATTTTGCTCTCGCGGGACTAGAACGCTGTCTTTACGCTAAGTTATTTACCTTTGTATACATTTCGAGATAGGTAGCCGTCTATAAATATTTGCATCAAGTAACTAAGTGCACTTGCTTTGTGGGGCCATTTGAACATTCCATTATTGTGACTCTGAAAATGGCACGCACACATTTGCTGTTTATCTGTTGTTTATAGCGTATAATAGCACAAATTTGTAGTGCTTGTTGTGCCGGAGTTATCAGTAAAATTACACTAATAGGTGAGACCCAATTTGTCTACACTTATGCAGTTTTCCAATTTATTCGTGAGATAGTCAATTTAATGCCTTTGTATGATAATATTAATTTTGTTATCTTGAAGGGCATAAATAGGTCTAAACATGCCAGTGATTGTATGAATGTCATTCTGAGAGAAGTCAAATTGCAGTCCAAAAATCTCAGGTTGGGTTTAGTTTGATCTGTAATTATTATGCAATTATATTAGTGAGCATGTACAATATCCAGGTTTCATTACTCTCATTCGTCTCTTATTCATAATTATTTATAATCTATTGTAGTGTATCTTGTATCTAGTGTTCCAATTCGAGGTAATTTTAAACAGATGCATTATATATCATAAAAGTTTATTATCGATTCGCTGATATGGTTTGCTATTTTTACAATAATATTTAATATGCATTCCATGCCTATGGTAAAGGTTTACACCATGTGCAAGCTATACCAAATCAAACTAATTCAGTTTTTTAAAAGCTTCACTTGCATAAACTATAGAAAAACAAGGGAAAATGTTATACTAATTATAATGATATAAATTTCTTCCAACAGAAAGCCAGTCTTGGTCGCTATGGATGGAGTTAACCATCTTTTCTGGGATACAGCTATCAGGCGTGAAGATCGAACATTTGTAAGTATCTTAAAGGAATACTTTACTCTAGAATTTGAGAGTATATTATATGATAGTAGATTTGTAAATAATAGCACATACCTATAAATATCTATAATTACGCATTCACGTTTGTCATAAAACAACATTGAATTTCGAAATCTTCATTTTTGGGCGCTGACATGACACCCGCGATCGTGCTGCCACCCTGAAAAAGTTGCGCATTACCCAATTTATTTTACACGTTACAGACTGAGGGCTAATCACAAAAGTGCATTTATATTTATACCTAAATGCTATTTAACCGAACGATATTCATTTTAGGACAAATTTATCCATATTATAACTGAAACTATATGTCGTTTATAAGATATTGCAATCCTTCTGCTTTTAAATTAATAAATAAGAAACACCCTCGGTCTGTAGCCCTTGGCTGAAAAGTCCATTTGCGCAACTTTTCAGATAGTGCACTTTGAGTGGTGCCACCGTCGTTGTAATCAAACTGTAGTCGTTAGTTTTAAAACATTTTTTTAAAACATTTCTAATGGTGATTGAACCATGAAATTTTTAATGTAGCGTAATTTTAACCTAAATCAACTGAAAATAACCCCAGAACCTAGAGTCAAGTATTCCTATAATATCCTTCTCACTGTTTAGCACAGTGGCGCCCTCGTGTGTTTACTATTCGTAGTTAGCAGTGCTGTCTCGACAGAAGTAAATAATTAGTAGGTCTCAGGGGAGAGATAGTGAATATAGAAATAAGTTGTGGATATAGAAATCAGTTAACCCTAACCCTAACCCTAACCCTAACCCTAACTCTAACCAGGCTAACCCTATCCCTAATTCTAAAATAAAACAAAATTAGCCAAAGATAATAACAAATAAAATAAATAAGAGACAAAATTAGCCAATCAGAGCCGTCCCTTAGCAGATCACTATCTCTCTCCTGTGAAAAATTCGTAAATAATGAGTACTTGCATTTTAGCAGAAACTGCTTTTCTTCAGTGTATCAGTATGAATTTAAATTTGGTCTCTAAATTTGTTATAGCACTTCATAGTGTACCGATCTGCCTTATTTTAAAAAATCCTCCGAGCTAAATAAGCTACAAGTATGTACAGCTAATTTACATGCTTGTAATTCTCATTCCTGCCTGATAAAAATGTTCTTATTCTCCCAGCTTCCTGCTTGTGACGTATCCTTGGTCTATAACCTGAAGAAACTCTTACATAATGACTGGGTATGTCTTATGCCAGGGAAAAATATACATAAGGGCCTAAAATGGTAAATGTGTGTGGCTTCAAATTTAGCAAATTCATGTAGATTATGTAGTTGTGTTGTAGTTAGCTTTAGGTAGTCTTGTTCAATTGGTTGTTTTATTATTTAATTGCTATATTATATTCATGTTGGCATTTATCCACAATACCGGTAACGCTAATTCATTAAAGCTGCCAGAAATGTATGATGTATGTTTTACAGTCTAATGCAGCAGTGGTCACCACAGTAGATGAGAGATATGCAGGTGTCTACAACAAGCGACGGCCTTCATACTTGCCACGTTTTCTGTTGCAGAAAAGCGTGAGTTTGTTAATTTTTAGCTCATCTGACATAGTCAGATGCAGCTTGTAGAATCGCATGAGCGTGCGTGCGTCCAGGCGTCCGTCCAGCCGTGCGTCAACAGTTTGGCACAAATCTTAACCGCTTGACGTACGGTCACGATATTCGGGATGTCGGGGGGGGGGGGGTCAAAGGTCAAAGGTCAAGAGGTGTAAAAGAAGGGAACATTCCCTCCTTAACTTAAGGTATAGGGAGGAAATGCAGAATTGCGGCACAAATCTAAACCGCTCAACCTAGGCTCGTGATAGTCGGTGTATAACATCATGGTAGGAAAAGCCATCACTGTGCTGAAATTGGAGGTCACAGGTCAAAGGTCAATGGGCACAGGGCAGATTTAGACATTTTCTGAGGACATGGTCTGACGGAGCGATTGAAAAACTTTTTTGTTTCAGCGGTGACCTAGCATTTTTATTGCTTTATTGAAAGGACCATGAAATGTACTTTCTGCTGACATGCGAAAAGTAAGTGTCGGATAACCTTTTGACCCTCAAGAGGAGGGTTAAACATGGATTTGTTTACTGTTAGAAAGAATTTGACTGCCGGGTTTGCTAGTAGAATCTATACATGGTTGGATGTATGAGGCTACAATGTCACAGTAAAATTTCAAAAGCTAAATTTGGTTGAAGAAGGTTTATGCTCCTTAAAATCGTATAATTTCTATGGCATTCTGTACTGTCAGTGTGTTACATGTAACGTATGCCACTGCCAGTGGCCACTGTCAGTGCATGTGGTGGTGATAGTACTGTGTAGTTTTTGCCTGCGTTAATTAGTTACAGGTGGCAGCTCTCTATTTGAGCCTGTAGGCTTGCGTCGGTAAATGGATGAGTGCTTACCTATTCTGTCTTGCAAATAGTTGTGCTACTTACGTACGATGGGAGCTTCCATTTTTAATCTTAAGACACTTAAACGTACGCGCTATCTCGTGGCAACTTTCATAATGATCCCAACGAACATTCCTTTGAGAAGGTTCTTGATACCATCTCTGTGCCTTCCACTGTTTCGGCGTGTATGTGAACACATTTGGGACTAACAGGGTTTACTAGAATCTCACCACTCCACCACAGAGTCACCGCAGTAGACGTGAGATGAGCGCTGTCGCTCCGCGGCACTTGTTATATATTCCTTACCTGAGCTGCTGCAGTATAGGTTGAAAAACTAAAAGTGCAAATATATTTTATGACACATGATTTACAGCAAAAGTTATTTAAATGACACTTAAAATTCTTTCCAAAACCATTATATGCTTATAGTAGAGTTTATTATAATTAAATCTATAATTTATTCTAAAACAAACATGCTTTACCATAAAATTTAATGCAAATATATTTTACTAAATTTCTTAGTAAAACCTTTGATACATTGACATTGCAGGGATTCGAACTCTTTGATCCATTTTTACCAGTACTGGTTGATGGCTACAGTGAGAAAGAGGCTTTAACCTGCATCAATTATTACATCGACCGACACTGGATTCAGAATGAAAATGGTAAAACAGACTTAATGTTTACACTGGTCTATCTAAGACACTCGCTGCCCTACTATGAGCGATTAAACACGGTTAACCTTACCGCAATAGAAAATTATTTGGGGGGATCAACGTGTTGTCTACAGCAAATTCGGTTTGTTATAAGCTAAAAAATATTGTAAAAAAAGTCAACGTTTTAGGCAAACATCAGCATATTAATGATTATAGTTTCAACTTTCAATACTAAAAACAAATGTTTTATATCACAAATGGTTTTCAATATAATTTGCTGCAAGTGTGATGAAACACAACTGATATAAAAAAAAATGCAAAACTCTTATTATAACTTGATTGTCTTTGTTTCCAACTGGGGTAAAAATGGTTTTCGAATGCACCTGATGACCCAATACCACTTATGGCAAGGTTTACATTGCATTTTTTGTAATTCATTATGTAGCTAAGACAGACGGTGCAAGAAGAGCTGATCATCTTAGTGCTTCAACCCCCTTCAACTGGACATGCTGTGTAGAGGCTTAATAGTATAACAGCTAGTCAAGGACAATGCCCATAGTATTTCCTGCAGTACCCTGCAAGGATTTCAGCCCAGCATTGTGATGTTAAAGGACTACGTCACGAATTTTCTATGGTAAAATTTGAAAAAAAAAATGCCATTTTTTTACATTAAAAAGTAAGAACTAACGTACTAAATATATCCTCAAACTCTCACCTGATAAAAATGTTTTACGTTGGTTAAATTTGCAAAAATCTAGACGATTTGTAATTTCTGTTGTCTAACACTATTCCCCAGTACTGTTCAGATACTGCGTCTCTCTGTTTTCAACCGGCAAATTAGGCGCATATAAAGAAGGTATATAAGCATGAAAAGTAAACAGAAACACTAATTTGTATTTCCATACATTTATTTTTACAAATAACAACACAAATGTACTACTTGATGGTGCAGAATTTCGTGACGGTAATCACTTTAACATCATGAGTCAAAATTAAAAGACACCAATGATGAATGTCTTTTTTATTGTGGCATATCATAGATCAATCCTACCATAGTAAAGTTAGGAATAACCGTTATAGTAGGATAATATTACACACATGGTATTTTCTTTCAGCTGTTCTGATGAAATGCTATGACACTATTATAAGTTTCAGTTTAGCGGTTTCATCATAGGCCTTAGGCATTGGCATGTAAATAATAAACGCTCTTAAAATATCCCATTGTGGTTCCTGTTTATGACCATTTTTTGTAAACCTTTTATATGTGGATTGGGGAACGGGAGGCAATACAGTAGATTAAAGAATCATTGCACATGCGAACTAATACCAGATTAATTTTTTTGTAATTTGAAATATAATAAATCGGGAACATGGGAAATCTGGACAGCTGAAGAATTGCACATTTTCACCCTGAGGAAGCTAAGAATGACCCTCGCTCTTTTTCCATCCATAAGTTTTATATGCTCTTTACTTTGTTAAATATTTATTTCATCATAGTTTATTGTTGATATTCATTACTTTCCAATATAATGTAATCTGCATTTCAATTTGTTTTAAATGCCACAGGAATTTAAAGATAGGGTAAATGATTGGGCATCAATCTTATCGTTTAAAATATGTGCGTTATTTAGTCGTACTTTTTGCATAACATTTCTGCTGTAGTAGTAAAATTGTGAGCTTGACTAGTGGTCCCCCGGCGGCCGTCCTTGTGGCAAACCGAAGGTTGAGTTCATATACATCTGCAGCCGGATCCGCGCGAAGCGCGCCAACCCGCGACGCGGCAAAAACTAACACAGGATCGCTGCCCTACTAAATAGCTTTACATGTGGCTCTTCGAGTAAGGGCTCAAGCGCGTATATCGGTCCCTTTAGCAGTTGTGCCATTGCAAGGCGGCTTTGACTACCCACGGTAGGCAGACAGCTGCTCGAAATGATCGCACAAATTTTGGCTATTCGGCGCACTTCTTTCCTGTAAAAAACAGACGTTTAGTTTCCCCCCCCATCACTCTAAATCAGTGTACATCTGTCTACTAGATATTGCGTCCAATAGATGGCAGCACGAGTCTATGCACGAGTCTATATGCATATCATTTGCCTACGACTTTGCTTGTACACCGCTCGGCGGGCTATATGCGCGTATAAGCCTCCGGTGTAATTAATCATTTCGCGCGGCGCGGCAGTTTCGGCGGCCGACGAGACGCTAATTGGCAGTTTACTTGTAAATAAATGTTACGGAGGGGGCAAAACGCTACCTCTCAGCACGCGCACGAGTAATCTGGCTAGCTTGGTTAGTGCGTAGTGGGTTTTCACACCCACAGGCACTTGGGACAGAGTCAGTAAAACTGAAAATAATATGAAGCACACATTCCAATATATATATTATCATCATAGCACACAGCACACTCGCAGCGGCGAGTGCGGAGGTCCGCGTTAGTTTTACATAGGTTTAGGAAGGAAAGTTGATATACAGTGAGCCAACGGTGGAACTGTAACAGAGGGAACCGGTAGTAGGCTCATTTGTGAAATGTGTGTCAATATTATTTTCACTTTTACTGCTCTGTCCCAAGTGCCTGTGCTCACGACCTGGGCGCGATAGGCTTGACCCGGGGATTCATTCTGCGCGCGTACAACTGCAGTCGTCACTGTCGTTCGTGGCGACGCACAACATATGCAAATGCGTTGTGTAGCGAGCGACGCAAGTATAGTGTTATATAGTGTATATTTTCTATACAGTGGATTTGCCCCTGCCTCAAGTATACCTCTAGTAAAATGATGAAATATTCGGTAAAGTACCCGCTTTCTTCCGTATGCATTCTTTTTACAGTGTCTCAATCAAATCACGATCAACTTACGTGCCATTTTTCAACTCTAGTTAGCAGAACACATAAAGAAGACAGCTTATGAGAACATCGTACTAACAAATACATTGTTACCCAGTCTATAATTCGCATTATATGTTATAACTGTCCATGTTGTATTTGTATAACTAGTAGTTCAGATTGTTGCATGAACTAATAAGATCACTAATTTAGGAATTTTCAATTAACGTAATTGCCATCGTCGCAATCAATTAATTCTACGAGTGTTTCATCAGCCACTCGACCATTATAATCCTGTCTAACTGAGTCTATATCTACATCGGCAAGTGCTCCGGATCTAACGAACGACCCGCGTCACAACTGTTGTGAATAGTTTCGTTATGGCCGAGAATAGACGTCAGCTTAATACCTCTAAAACTATAGCCCTCGCTCATGGCCGACACGCCTGTACCGGGATCTCTGTCATATAGAATGTGCGACCACATGCTGCTCGTCGATGAAGCATGTTATACTATTGTCATAGAAAGTTACTTAGGCATATGAAGTTGTATGTGGTAACTCTGAACTTGTTTAACACACTGTGTCACAATATGAAACAGCGTGCAATGTCAACCATATACAGTTTGTAATCAATAATAACAATATATGCCATGTCTTGTAAGAGTTCATTAAGATACCGTGTCACAGGGCACGGACGTTCAATAATAAAACGATCATAATAAATACAAACTTGCCACACTCACACTAGCCCTACCAGTACATACCAGTAATATTCTTAATGTTGAATTTGAACCTAAAACTTCAACTTCAACACCGTCCAATACACGGCTGGCAACACATAGCGCGCACGCCCTATGTGCATGCACAATACACAGTGATTTACAGTCCACAGTCCGCAGTGTCGCGATCCCCAACGCCATTTTCACTAACGCACGAGGTAACTAGAGATTTCATACGAAAATGGTGGTAATGTTGATTTGCTGCTCGGCACGTGGTCGGTTTCTCTGTAGAAACCAATTTAACCATTTCTGCTGTTCATGCCTAAACATTATTTGCACTTATGGCGTGCCCATAGATGGGCAACGATCCAATGTACATAGCATTTTCAAGTCGTCTTAACTACACGCAAACGCTCGCTTACCTCAGCTAGACGCTGCCCCGTGGACAGTTCCAGCGACGCTAGCGTAATCCTACTTCAGTGTAAGCCAACCAGATAAGTTGCGTGAGTGAAGGTCGTACAGTCTGCCCGCAACGTCAGTGCCGCTTCAACGTCCGTAGCTAACTGAAGAGACCAATGTGATGACAATTTGAGTAATGTGTATTGACAATATTTGTGACATATACACTGCTCATTGTTTGCATATAGGTCCAAACATGTCTGTTTTTACATGAATAAAGGCATA